TCGTCGAGGGTCACCGGTTCGAAAAAGGTATTTCTGATAGCGGGTTGTTGACGGGCAGTAGGAACAACAGATTGTTCACTGGTAGCAGAAACAACAGGTTGCTCACTGGAAGCAGAAAAACTAGAATTCATACGAAGCGAAGTCATACCATCCGTCATAGACATGGTATTTGCTACGGGTTTGGTTTGCTGATAATAGATTACGATTAGCTACAAAATATCCACTTTGAAATGCTGGAAATTGCTTACATGTTTTCTAATATTTCCCATCAGCGAGCTAACCATCCCACGGACTATCCAATTATCTGCAGCCAGGTACAAGGGTACAACTAGAACTGGTGCAGTGAGTTCAAAATGCCTACCACTCTGGGTAGGTATACCAGCTTCGCCAGTATGCTGGTTCCAATAGAAAATGATACGTTCCAGCATATACTTGATGTCATCTTGTTCGTTGAGCTCCAATTCGCTCCAAATCACCCCATTGGGACCATATCTCTCCCCAAGGTATACAATAAGAAACTTCTTGACGATGTGAAAAGTGTTATCGTATGCCAATCTACCGCACATTGTGAACCATGTTTTTCTAGGTACAACAACTGGATCTTCCTTCCCGTGCAATTCATTGGGGTCAAGACTAAGAAAGTAATCGGATGTTTTTGTTTTGACCAATTCCACTTTTTACTTTGGTCGTGCGCTGATTGTTCTAACTCCTAACGCGTTCCAATCGCTGTACACACCCTGTGCAGAATCATTCGTCTTATAATACTGAATAGCCTTAAGAATACAATCTCTGAGCTTACGCTCTTGACAATCCAATTCTATTATTTGTAAATTTTGGTGAAATAGAATTATTAGTTAATGTTCAGATCAGCTTTATCACAAAAACATTTACCAGCATTCTTTTGGGGACTTACACCAAGGTCCGAAACATACGCTACCCTTTTACCTTTCCCCGTTTGGTCCCTGGGGAGGTTATTGTTCACAGCTGTAGTAAGAGAATTGACCACTGAAGCCATAAGATCAACCGTTGTTCCCAAAGAATTAATCATTGCTTTCATGGAGTCTAGTTGTTCTTGAAAGTTACGAGCTTGATCAGGACTCATTGTTTAGTACTAAATAATAATATAGAAAAAAATATAAAGAGTGAAGTAAATATATAAGTAAAAATATATGATGTATATGACAAACTATTTATCGTGTGATTGGTGTAGATTACATGAGCTAGTTAAGTAAAGGTACCTTATTATGTCATATGCATCGGTTAAAAAGGAAGTATTTAGTTACGAGTAAAAATTTAGTCTCAGTTTATAAAAAACTTACCAATGATTGTGATTCGGATTTTTCTTTGACAAGGACTTCAGATCCATAAGGGAATATGTTGGCAATAGTTCAATCAAAAATAAAAAGATTTAGAAGCGTATAAATACTTCTAAAAATAACTTGATACTTCCTTTCAAAACTTCCAATAATTTTGTATTTATAACAATGACAATCCCCAGTGCTATTCAAAAACCAAGCAATCTCGTGCCTCCCGACGTGGTTTAACCATGCGTGTCTTGAAAGCTTCGCCTGCTGTTTTGAATTGTTCTATTGCTCCTGACAATTCTACTGGTGTCGTTCCTGAGAATAATGATGTAAACAATATACCAGATTTCAGTGACGTCGATATGGTTTCTATCGAGCATGATACAATGAACACTTTTATTGAACAAGAGACACGTCAACAAGAAGAAGAACATGACGGATATGTTGATTGTGAAATTTCAGATGTAGATGATGATGAAGGTGCTGAATTCGAAGAGCTTCAACTGGCGGAACAATTTACGGAAGACTCTTCAGACGAAGATAATAGCACAATGGAAGATGTTATTGAAGGTAAGTGCTATATTCTATGATGTATGTCAAATTAACTCACCCACATTCGATTATAGAATCATAGACCTGCCTGAAAATAGTGATAATCAAGACATAACGATGATCAAGAACGTCATTATACCAGATTATCATTTTAACCAAAACGAACTTGATAGTATGCAATTTAACTATCTTTGCATAAACAACAACATGACCATGCAATCTACAAGTAACATGAAAAAGTTCATCGAGATGTTAATCACACGGAATGATAATTCTAAGTGAAATTGATTCATGTCAATAACATTTTTTGTATTAACCATCTTTATAGCCCTTTCTCGTAAAAGAAAGTTGTATGTTTTGAAGGAGTGTCTTTCTATGATCAAAAAAAAGATCCCGAATACATTCGTCCGTGCCCACAAAATTTGCCCCGACAAGGAATGCTATTTATTTGATCCTATCGTTGATGCCAACAAAATTGCTTGTCCAGAAAGTGGCGCTTCGAGACAATCAAAATCTGTGGTCAAAATGGTTGATATTGGCGTTCATGTTAGTAGTATGCTTGCATGTAATGAGTTTCGTGGTGAAGTTGATCAGTACCGGAAAGTAATTGTTGCAAGAACAGACCAAGATCCTTTTACAGACTTCTTCTCTGGTTCCACCTACCAAGAGCTTCGTTCCAGAGGTCTATTTTCTGGTAAGCATGATATTGCAATTGTTCTTTGTGTTGACGGGTTTACGTCGCATGTATCAAACGAAAGTATGGTTATGATCCATGTAATCACTCCAAGTATTGATCCCTCGATCAGGTAATATGTTATCTCTATGCGCATTTTATAACTGGTTTCGACCTTTCACAACTAATAGATGTACGGATGATTACACATTCCAGATCGCCATTCTTTTCGGTGATACCAAGACAAACTTCGAATCATCCTTGCGTCCCATTATTCAAAGCCTTGACCTGATTGGGCAGCCAACCCATCATAGTCAAACGAAATGGTGTTCATGTTGCTACATCTAATGTTTATAATCTTGGTGTGATTGCTGACGGCGTTGAGATCAACCAGCGTTTGTTGATGTTTGGTGGTCATACCAGCACGTATGGGTGTAGAGTTTGCTTGGGTAAGTAAACGGGTCCTTACAGAATACAAAAATCCGTTGACATTTCTCTTATTCAAATTAGTAAAAGGAGAGCGGCCAATCGATGGTGGAAAACTTGGCAAGTATTTATTGATAGAACTTCGTCAATTAGATCAAAGTCCTTGTTGCTGTTGGAGGAGGATATTGTAAGTGCTCCATTAGGAAATCTTCTACCAGAATACTAAATATATTACCTTTACAGCCTGCCGAATTCAACAATTACAACATCAAAAGTCCCACCCCCTTTGGGCAATTGAGCACCTTTTTGTCGATTGATTTCTTCATGTGTGATGAGCTCCACATGTTCTCCAATGTCAGTAAGCTTTGTTTTGATCTAATGTCATCAAGATATAACGGTCGCTACAAGTTTGCTGGCAAGGAATTAAAATACCCTTTTTCCCTTTCTAATGACCAGTTTCAAGCTGTGAAGAGGTCCATGGATGATTCTCGTTGCACGATCCCAACCGACTTCAACGGTTCTTTTAAGGGTATGTCCTCCGACAACGTTCGCTCCTTGTATCGTTCGGTGGATTGGATAGCTTGGTTGATTTACGTCGTTCCGACAATTATCGCTCCTTTGTTCTCTGATAAATCGACTAGATTAGCGTTTATTTCTCTCTGTCGTGGTATCAAGATCAGCCTACAATGGTCGATTACTTCGGTAGAGGTCCGCGAGATTGAAAGGTATTCAAAAAACTGTTTCCAAGTACATATTGAATTCAGCTAACAGTATCTTCATTTTACATCTAGATCTTTCCAGGAATGGTTTGACTATCTTGACAAATGCCTCGAGGAGGAGTCAATTTCTAAGAGTGTATTCAAGTCCAACTTGCATCAGCTAGTTCATATACCCTACATGATCAAGAAAATGGGGTAAGCTACAACTATACATTAACGTCATATACATAAATATACCAATACATTTTTTACAGTCCACTTCGATGCTATTCTGCTCGGTCCCTTGAGAGATCGATTGGCTCTTACAAAAGGCGTATTCGATCCACTGTTCATCCCGGTGTCAACGCTGGAAACATATTAGAAACGAGAGCCATTTTCAAGTTCCTTAAGATAGCCAACATCTTTGATTTCTCTGCTCTGACGGCCACCATTGACAAAGAGACCAATTTTGTGCAGCACCCTTCCAATGATCCTTTGCTTCCGCAACTCTGGTCTCCTTTCCTCAATTGTCCAAACAGTTCGATGGTCGTAGGAAATCTTTTGGAACAAGGTAAAGCAGGTTCTTTATTTGATAATCGATATCGAATCATGCCATGGTTTTTTGCCTTGATGAATTGCCTGGCTCGCGTAACAGGGATCCGACAAACAACAATTTCGGCATTTCACCTGAATCAGCAACTGGTGATATCGAGCAAATTGTTCAGCAACAACCATGTCTACGTATCAGACTTGTATAAATCAAAAAATAGGTCATGCACTCGTGGTGGTGAGTTCGTTATGTTCGAAGCTGTGCATAAGAGCGGGTGAGTGGTATTTTTTTATACCTTCGTATAATGTTTATTAACTCTCTTTGATTTTAGCTCATCCCATCGAGTCACAAACTGGTATGTTTGTAAAATCTTATTCTTTTTTTCTTTTGTGTTGGTTGAAGGTGATGAAGGCTCCCATTATGTTTACGGCGAGCTGACAAAAAGTAACGGTGTGTCTCCCTTGTCGAAGTCGATTCCTAGGGTACAGATGTTTGATCGTGGTCAAGAAAAGTTTGTTGTCTTCGATGCCAGAGACATTGTGTCCTCCATTGGGTTGTTGAATTCTGCGGACGGTTCTTCGTACAAGTATGTCATCAGAACTGGAGATGCTTTTAAAACCGATATGAAAACAACCGCAGGGAAAATAAGTGCGCTGGAATAAAAAAAAAATTCAATCTCCTTAAAAAACTTTTTTCTCTACAAAACATACTACTTCGTGTAGCACAAAAAATCACTTATTTACTTTCACCCTGGTCTTGCCATCAATATTGAATATTTTTAACATTTTCTCATATTAAAACAACTATAAAAATTATTTATTATATATCTATATCAAAAAAATACGGGTTTTCCATCAATTACACTTTTTTAGTTTTGCGGTAGCAGTTTAAGCTTAAACCGTTACCGCCGGTAACGGTAAATCGTAAAAATTTCACCGATACCGCCGGTATCCGTTTAAGGTGCGAATAAACCGCTGGAAAATTTCGAGGTGTTAGGCAGGTGATGTACATCATGTTTCAGATAACTGCATGAAAAAAATATTAGTCTCCTTTATTACTATTTCAAGTTTTATTTTCTTACAAGTTTAAATCAGGTCCACCATTCGACATTACCACGAACATTAACATGGCCAACAGTCAACACATGAATCTCCAGATCTTGAAACTGTAGAAGCAGAAACCGACTTTCTACTTTGCGTTCCCCAATCGTATACAAATACCTTTCCCCAAAACGCTCTTACATGTAGTCACCCTAATAATCTTCGTAATTGTAGGAATCACAGGCGTTCATTCAACACAACACCAGTATTTAATACAAGCGACCCAACACGTGTAAAGTGAATTACATGGTAACTGTTCATTCCAAGTTGCCGAACGAAGTGATTTCTCCCGCAGACCCCAAATCGACGATTTTTGTTGTCTGTATTTTAGGGTGCAGTAACGGTGATATATAATTAAGACAAATTGATGCCATATGCTTCTTCATTACCGCAAAGTCATAGACAGAGAGGCTCCTTCAATACGAGTTAAATATTCTTGAATTATTCCAATAATACATACGCCTTAATAAAAACATCTTTGATGCTATCTCATTCCTAAAAATGATGTGAAAGAAAAATATATATTGTAAGGTTTATAAAAAAAAAATTGCATGTTACCAGAATTTAAAAGTATAATGTTTGAGCTAAATTAGTTACGATGTTGATATTAGTCAAATGTGATATCTTGATAGCAATAGGAGAGTGGATGACATGAACAGGAATGATGGACTCGTAAGACATGTCTTCAAATTCGTTTGCATAAACGCTCATATTATGATGAGCGAAAGAGCCCAATTGGATATCTGATTCCTTAAACCATCTAATTAAAAAATCATGCATTAGAAACTTTAAGTAAAATAAAAGACAGTACATATTACCTCACAAGGGCAAACGTGTGCATTATTTTTTCGACAACATTATCATCTCCCAAAACATCTGCAGAATGACGAAAAAACATCAGTACTTGCGCAGGTCGAAGAACACCAGAATTTGACAGGCATTTGTAATGCCGAGCAGCACGATCCCCAACTGTCTCATTTTCAATGATGATATCATTGTCATAATTTAAGCGGTAGAACGCACGGATGTATGATCCACGTGCGTTCGTACAAGATGATTCAATTGACTTGTAAACAGACCCGAACAAATCCAGTGTCACAAAAGGATACACGTTTCTGTCCGTGGTGGGAGCAGAGTAGGTGCAATTGTACACTTCGGTGTAATAGTCCAACAAGTGATTAAAAATTGCAGGATCCATTAGGATCGCATCCTTGACCTTCATACGTCGGAGTGCGCTTGGTGGCAGCTGCTCATAACCGTAACATAAATGATGGCCGTGGTTGATTGCCAAAAATTCGTAAAGTGAAAAAGCATTGAGGGAATCCACGTACTCATTTTCTACCCATGGATGAACATCATCGTACCCGTGAATATTTCCACCCGAAAACAATCTCTCTATTTTTTTGTTGTCATCCGATGCAAGTATCAAGTGTGAGTTCAGCGTCGAGTAATAGTCTTTGGCATGAACTGCACGTAAGAACTTCAACATAAATGTCTTCTCTACCGCGCCTTTACGATTCGTTTTGATGGACTTTATATCACAGTTGTATCGCTCAAAATTGAATATCCAA